ATTCGGCCCGACCGCAACTATTCGGCCGAATACCGAATAGTTATTAGGTCCACTATTCTGCCCCGAAGCGAATACGAAGCGAATATTCGGTACAGCCCTAGATAGTATACTATCATAGCCATGTTAACACAGATTACACCTATTATTCACACAAACATAAAACTAGACAGTTAGAATGGTGAAACAGGGACACCATAGTCAGCCATGAAACTTTTTGAGAATGCATGTAATATTTCTAATATATACATATATATAAATATCAAGACAATCAAGATGGTTTTCAGTGAAAGAAGTCCATGACTCAACGCCACAGCAATGATGTTGAAACAGCCAGAGTCAATTCTTAAACAAGTACATAATTCATCCCTGTGAACTAAAGGTAGCCATGGACAGAGAGCAAGTAGGTTATCTTAGATGTACTTAACCAAACTGGTAGGTCTCTGCTCCCCTCAGTCCATGGTGACTTGAATCGGCTGACTCATTAGATTGTTTTTCTCTGGGGTTGATCTGGCACCCACTGATCGTCTCACATATGAGGACAAAGGAACTCCACTGGAACCCAACAAAGCTCCTGATGAAGACTTCCTAGGATTGATGACACAGGTGGCCTGCAAGACTTTCACTCAGCCACTGGAACTCACACACAAACTCCTAACATGTTGATGTTCTGCCAACAATGGGTAGTGTTTTGGGTATGATTGATGATAGGAATGGTATGAGTTAGTGATTGCTGGTTGGTGGACTGTGATTTGTCTGCATGACTTCTAAGGAGATTTCATCCTGTCAGGAAAGAACTCAGAGTTAGTAATCATCTTAAGATTACCAAACCAGGTCAACTTATCGTCTGCTACCCTTCTAAGTCACTCAGAGTATACTCTCAAGAACAGGAGACCATGTCCCCTTTCATTTCTCTGTTTGTAAGTCAGTAACCAGATAGAAAATAAGGTACATAGTGGAGATAGATAAACACTACTACACATAGATCATCCTCTCTCCACCTTCCCATTTGCACCAGCAGACAAACATTCCATCTCGTTCGTACATGAATATATTTCATCTCCACAATCTGCCGACTACACATCCAATGTTGTCGTGCTGTAGTTAACCTATGACACAGAGCGCCGAGCTCTGACGTCACCGCATCTAACCGAATGCAGGATGACCCAGTTTACAAATGTCTGTTAGTCTATACAACTCCTTGGTTTGATTAGAGAATAATTAACTTGCTGGGTTTAATATTTTTACAATGGAGTGTGTTATGTACGGCACAAGCTAGTTAGCCTGTGAAGAGAAAGGTTTGATTTAGGGCCTGGAATGTCTGGATATCAAGAACGCCCCAGTTCTGTGCGATCACATATCTGAATCTTCTCTCTCTGCAGCAATGGCCAACTTTAAAGAGACATATATCATTGTACTCGTAAACTATAATCAACTTTCCCAAGCTTAGGAATCCTTCAAGGATTAAACTGGTACTTTGAAAGCGTCACAGTTAATGAGCGAGTTACAAAGTCTTCCGACACCTCAAAAGTATGGCAAAAGAATGCCCACCCCAAACTAAGCTTGGCGTCTCTAGGAAAGAAGTCCCTGTATTCATGCCCAAGGAGTAAAAAAGCTTACAGGAATTTCTGAATTATACTCAAGAAATATTCATCCCACAGTTGCAAGTTTGAAAATGTAGACTTCTCAAAACAACTAGAGGGTCTAGAAATGTTTATTTCACCAGATAGAGGTATATATCAATATAGGGGACTATATACCCCCCCCCCGGACGGGCTTAAATTTGAAATGTGACGTGCCCGCTTAGGGATGTCAGCGTCCGGACTCGTCCACAGTGTAGGGTTGGCTGTTCACTTCACGAACAACTGTGTACAAAATGAATGTTTGGAGCAGCTATCTGACTGATTGTAGTTTTCAAAGATTTGACTTCGAACACACACACACGCATTTCATGCAGTCAGCTTAAACAGTCTAGCTAGTAAATGTATGTATGTATGTATGTGTGTGTGCTGGTGTATGTGTGTGTGTGTAATCAAAATTACCCCAGAGGTCAGTACTTTAAGGTAATATTCTTGTAACTGCTTTAATCTGGGTCAGTCAGATAGAAATAGTGCAATTTAAAAATTCACTTTAATGCGGATTCCAAATTAGGACCTTCATTAAACGTCTGGCCACTTCGTTACCGAGTAACTGAGGAATGAATTTGTCTATGTCGCTCTATCTTATTATTTATTTCTATCTCTGCCTTGCCCCCTTCTTTCTCAAACAAGTCCTAGAAAATCATGGCAGTTAAATCGTGTTCAATGCATATATCTCCAAATTTAGCACCCGTATCAAATAATTTATCGAGATCTAGGCGATATATAGTCAAATTATGTTCGTGTCTATAAGGCGGCTTTTAACAACTTTTACCTTTTTTTTCTGCACAATTTGTATTTCAAAGCACTCATCCCCCTCCCCTCCCCGTTTTCCCGTTTTAAATATGTATACACAGCGAATGGGGTCAATACAAGCGGTAACTACAGTTGTTATATCAGATACATATTTTTGTCTTTGAATAATTTCTTTGTTTTTATTCATGTTGGTCGACAGCTGCGTATTTATGACTACTGAGTAAAAATTGTGGCAGTAAAAATCATGGTGGGCAAAAGACAAAGCTGTACTGACTGCAAAACACACGTGTATTTTAAACTGTATGAATAGGTTTAGAATTATCTCAGTGCCTCAGTTGTAATCTGTTTTATGTATATAGTGACACCAAAGGAAGAGCGAATAGAAAATTGTGTCATGAAAGTCTAAAAACCCAGAGAAGATCAAGAGATATGCTTGAATTCAAAGAACCGTCTAAAATCCCAGTGAAGATCAAAACATATTGTTGAATTCAAAAAACCGTCTAAAATCTCAGTGAAGATAAAAACATATTCTTGAATTCAAAGAACCGTCCAAAATCCCAGTGGAGTCAAAACATATTCTTGAATTCAAAGAAAACGAAAGGAAATAATGTTCAAAGACAAAACTGGCTGTCACCTAAAACATAACAATAAATAATGAAGAAATTTAATGTCACACACTTCAAATGACTAGGCGCTAGAATAGCAATAGGGACTGTTTGGCAGAAAATAAAAGGAGAATGGCCATAGCAATGCAAAGAATAAACAGTATTAGGAGCGGATGGTCAAGCACTAGTAAGGAAACCCGAATGAAAACTGTAAAAGCGTGCATCTTCTCTGTATCGACATACGGATTAAGTCGTGCACTATCTCCCAGCACTTAAAACAAGAAACTATGGGTTGTTGAGTTGAAATGCTAAAAAAAGATTCTTAGAATACCATGGAAAGAAAAAAAAAAAGAAAGAGAAGAAATGCTCACATTTTAAATGTCTAAGAAGCTACAATATTTTGGTCATGGATTTGTTAAAAATAAAAAATAAAAATTATAGCAGAAGGCATGGTATACCAAAAAGGAGAGGTAGGGACCGACCAAAACCATGATGGGTATATTATTTAAGTAACTCGTTGAATATGAAAGTACACGAGGCGGGAGAGTCGGCCTGAGACCGAGTTTCATTCAGGTAGACTGACAGGTTCAAAAAATGCACCACAACATTTCAATTGCTGTGATTAGTGTATCAGCTTATGCGACTGAGATCTATAGTGCTAAAAGAATAAATGTTACTTTTGATTGCATAAAGTTTCTCTGACTTTTAGTACATGAAAGTTTTAGTACATAATGTGTAAATAAAATGTTCGAATTCCTTTGGCTTGCTGAAAGTGCTGATAAAGAACAAACATCTAAGCTCTAGTAACGCTTACTACAGATAGCACTCATTAACAACACCATGCAATCTAACAACAAACATACAGTTTGTACAGGGTAGACGTTTGTTGACACTGACGGTGCAAGGCAAGTCATTAAACCTTTCGTGGGCAGTCCAAAAATAACATTAATCATATTACCTTCACTGATCATAAGTATTAGTGTAACTGCCTGTGTCCCTGGGTGTGGCTTTTAGGACCATGTGTATGCTTTTGTGTGTGTAGGGGGGGGGGGGGTGGACCCATTACCACTCCCTCCTAAGAAGCATGTCGTATAAGGCGAACAATTAAATGAATTTTGTTTGTTTTCGTTTGATGTTTTCTGCATAAATGGCAAGAAACCAAGTGAGTACAAATCTGCACGCTAAAGTCAAGAGCTAGAAAAAGACCAAAGCCTTGAAATGGACGAAGAGTTTACAACCGGTGAACATAAAAAAAGAAACAGAGTACTTGTGTCCTATAGCATCTCTTCTTCTTTTTTCAGATCTTAGTATTTCTTGCTCTTAGGTTTCAGATAGAAGGAGTTGAAATTAAGCATCCTATTTAAAATCTACGGTTTAGATATGTTGCAGGCATCTATCTAGTTTCTTATCTTTCTGTATTTGTTTGCTGTGATTATTTGTTATATATGCTATTTGATTATATGCTTTATGTGTTGACATATGCTCGTTGTAGTTATTTCAGTGGAATGCCAAAACAATTTGGGAGAAAATCGCCATCAGCACCCTTCGAACTCCAACATTTCGAGATTGTGAAAATGTATTCAGAACCATCATGTCACAGTCGAAGACCTTTCTAAAACACGTGACGAAAATGAAATGCGTAGTTGTCTGCTAAAACTCCACGGTGAGTTCTGTCTTGATAAGAGTGAAATACATAAGAATTGCATGAATGATACAGGTATTGAGGCGAACTCGTGGGAACACAATTCCGTTGACAGTGTTTTTCTTCTAACTCAAGTCTGAGTCCGAAGACGCTCAGCACAGTGCACAAGCTATGTAGCACCGGGGAGGATCCTGACATACATTTGGGAATTAGAAGTTTTAAGTCCACTTAAAAAAATAAAAGCCTTTGTGAGCCCAAAACCTCCGCACTCGAGCGACACCACGCCTCATTGTGATAATGATAATGGTGATGATTTTAACGCCTAGTATGATGTTATTCGTTAAACCTGTCAGGTTATTACTGTCACTGCGTCGGACAAGACTGACTCAGCGTTGTAAAGAAGTTGTAAACGCTCGTATCGCCACAGTTGCCTAAGACGTCTTCAGGGGGAAGTGATAAAATCCACATCTGTAGACTCTTCTCTTCACAAGTACAGACCAGGTCAGTGCTGTTGGAGATATCAAAGACGAAGATATGATTGAGAGATGCCAGGAAGAGAGGCAGGCGTGTAAGTTTGCTCTGCTGAAGACGTAATTCTCGAAGACGTGGAATACTCGAAAGCGCCTGGGCGGAGATTTTTACAATCGGGTTGTTATTCAAATTTACAGAGATGATACTAGAATTTAAAGGAAAGCTGTCGTCGGTTAGCTCAGAAATCAAGTTATTCTCAAGCAGAACAAACATAATTAAGGGAAGAAAATCAGACCCTTGGATCTGGGTCACAAGGTTGGATGGCATAAATAATTCCGTGACGCCCGTCAGATGTCGATAGACACGGGGAATGGAGGGAAGCCAGTTGAAAGCAAAAGACAAGGCGTACACATTTGAAGGCATGACCCCAGAATTTGGATCAGATAATCTATTGCGCCCGAAATCAAGACTTCCAATTTGTGTCAGATATGAGAGATCAGGTATCACTGTCAATTGGTTACCAACAAGACCTAGATTTTTTAGAGAGTTAGCATATGGGCGAAGTACATAGCTCAGCATACCAGCGTCTGAGATGTTATTGAAGTTTAAATCTATGTCCGACACATTACTTAAGTGGGGCAGCCATGTTAGGTCGGTAATCTGATTGTCTTGTAAGTGTATTGACTTCAGGGCTGTATGATTGGCTAGTGACTTGGGTACAGCCATAAGCCTGCCGTTAATTATCGACAGAGTAACTAAGGTGTTCTCTGACATGGCAAAAGCATTATCAGGGACTGAAGTAAAAGAGCTGTCAGCCAAATACACATTATAAAAGTGTGCAAAGTCGTGGAACCAGTCTGGCCATGAAGTCAACCCAACAGAACCCAGAAAAAGTGTCTCAATAGTGTTTCCAATGTTCCTCATAGCATTTGGGTTCCAATCCCGAATTGGTGTGTTGTATATGTACAGATTCTTCAGATTATGCAAATGTAGAAATGCATCCGGGATTCTGGTGAAATGAGCCCCGTCAAATCGAAGGGTTTCTAATGTTGTTGCAGACTGGTTAAAGGCGTCGTCGTCTATTGAAGCGATTGGATTCAGTGTAAGGGATATCTCTCTCAAGTTTGGAGGCAGGCTTCCAGAAACAATTTTAGTGAGTCGGTTTGCCTGAAAAAAAAAAAAAATTTATTTAAGGCAGTACACCATGAATAAAACTAAAAGAGATCATATAAGAAAAACACAATTTTGAAACGATTATAATAAAATTCGATCGAAAAATAAAACGGTTTCGCTATTTAATAGGAATGAATAAAACTATGCCAGCAACGAGTCTGTGAAATTACAAGTAGAAACATCATGTGGGAGACGAACACGAAAAATATAGTTTGAATAAGTCAGTGATACTTTAAGATACATCACAGCAGACCGGGCAACTGAGACTTGCCCTAGCTTGGATATAGATCGTCCGTTAACTAGCAAAGCCTAGCGACGCAAGGTCAAGGCCATTTGGAAACAGCAACAGAATCAGTAGAAACGATTATTATAGCCTAGAGAATGAGACACCAGAGGGTCTGGCCGGCTCACTGCACTCAGAGGAAAGTCAAGACGGACATATAACCAGATTGTGACCGGTACGATCAGTATTGGAAGTCTGCACTGCCTGCTGAAGATGAGGACGGAGCATTCATGGGAATGCCTTCTTTCTTGACTCAGCTCAACTTAACTGAACTTAGCCTAGCGACGCAAAGCAGAAGACTGACACGGAAAAAAAAAGATGGAATTGAATGGTGAAGAGGATAATGACGACAGTGATGATCGTCATAATGAAATGAGAGAAAAATAATAACGGTAGATTACTATTGTGCTTATTGATATATAATTGTGTGGGCACATGGGAATGTAATTTTCGGTCGCACTCATCATTCGCCCTGTTGATAAACGCCGGTGGTGGTCTTGTTTCTCAGTCCCGCACTATAACCAAATGTTGACTGTTGAATTAGGAATCGACATCACAGCACCCAGTACACTCCTATAAGCGCTCCGTCCCCATCTTCAGCAGAAAGTGAAGAGTTTCAATTCCGATGGCACCAGCAAGTGTCTGATGATACGTCTCCCTTGACTGTTAAACGTCAGCCAGATCCCCTGGTAAATCGACGCAGCCAGTAATGATCTATGTGTACCTCCGCTCTGTTCACTCGCTCCCAAAGGGTCCTTACAACATCTAGATTATCATACATCAGCTAAACAACAGGCAGCTTTCATAAAGTTCAGTATTGGTTCTGTGCCGTTTCTTCCCCTGATATCATCGTTCCTAAGTCGGTCTTTATTCCTTACACCTATATATATATATATATATATATATATATATATATATATATATATATATATATATATATATATATTAATAATTTTTTTTTTTTTTTTACTATATGTGCAGAAAACGTCATGAAAAATCAATGACATGATGTGGATATTTTGATCCGCTCATAAATAATGGCAACCGTTTTTCAGAAACTCATCAGATGAGACAGATGTCGAACAATGTAAGCGGAATAGATATTTAATCACGTCTATCCAAAAACACACTGAAGATCAAAACCTGTTTTTTTAATTTAAAGAAAACACACACAAGGGGGGGAAAAGTAATAACAATATCCTTTAGGAAAAAAAAAAACTGTCTGCTGATCAGAGATAACAATAAATGATTAACAAAGTGACAAACAAAATGACAAACTCTCACTATCTTGAATTCGTAATAAACAATAATGGCGACTGTGTAATATAAAGTCAAAAGGGGGAGGGTCATAGCAATACAAAAGTCTATAGTTAAGCACCAGCAAGAAAACCACAGTTAACTTTTAGAGAGAATACATCTTCCCTGTAGCAATGTATTGACGTGAGTTGTTGACAATCATCTAGTCCTTAAAGAAGACAATAGAGGCTTTTGAGCTGAAAAGCTACAGAAAGATTCTCAGAAGTTATTATAGCAGGAAGGAGGATCAGAGTCCTACCAACGAGAAGAAGAGCACAAAACATAAGAGACAACTTGAATACAAAAGTGCACACAGGGTGGGAGAGCTGGCGAGATAGAGATAGAGAGAGAGAGAGAGAGAGTGAGAGAGAAAGAGTGAGAGAGAGAGTGAGAGAGAAAGAGTGAGAGAGAGAGAGAGTGTGTGTGAGGGAGAGAGTGTGAGAGAGAGTGAGAGAGAGACTGAGAGAGAAAGAGAGTGAGAGAGAGAGTATGTGAGGGAGGGAGAGAGAGGGAGAGAGAGAGATGGGGGAGCGTTTCGTTCAGGTAGACCGTTACGACAGCGAAGCTCTGGGAAGGACCTGCTACAATATACACACAAACACACACACACACACACACACACACACACATATATATATATATATATATATATATATATATATATATATATATATATATATATATATATATATATATATATATATATATATATATATATATATATATATAGCATTATAACTTCTCTGCATCAATAAAATTAAATGTAAAAAAATGATTTTTTTAAAGCACTGGCTTGTTCGGCATATGATGGTAGACAAACAATTCTACAGACTGATCGGCCCTTATCGAGTGGTGGGGCCAACACAAGTCACTTACTCATCAGGAAATTGCCGGGTACCCACTTTAGTCTGGGTCGACTTGGAAGCAAAGTTAATTTTTCTGAGCAGATTCGAACACAAGAGCTTCCGATCGACAGGAAAGCTACTAACCATTACACTACCGCGGCTCCCTCTGCGTCTTTTAGTGCCAATCAATACAATTTGTCTAAAATTGGACAAAGAACAGAGTACTTACATCCAACACAAGGATAGTGAAGACCGTATTGTTTGTATTGTTACTGACCAATTTAGGGACGGAGGTCAGATTTCGGCTTTGGCACTCGATGTATGAACCTTGACAGTCGCATTCCTATGAATGTGAGAAAAATAAAACTGTAAAAAGACTGTCTATGGAGCTATGCAATTCGTGTATTGTACGTAGTGTTAGGCTTGATGTGGACTCTTACCTGTTTAGAGACAGTTTAATCTAAAATTTAAAAAAAAAAAAAACGCAATGAAATCAATCCCCTGGAGTTTAAATTTAAAATGTGTTCAATGTGAGTCGTTTTTTAAAGACGGGTGATTGCGTGTTCAGTATGTAAACAGACAATTACCATATCTAAATACCTGATACAGGCATACATCCCCGGATGCAAATCCTATGCCGCTGATGCTGAGCCCCGCTATCATAACACACACCCACAAGAACATTCTGGGAAAAAAAAAGAGAACACAGGAAACAAGAATTAAGACAAGAGATAACTAATGTGCTTAGTGGACTGAAAAACACACATATTATCATCATCAACATCACCATCATCAGAATCCTAATCACTGTTGTAACCCGATGAGTTATGGCTGCTTACAAAAGTTTATAAAAACTGTATTTTTTTACTAGGGCTACTCCTAAATCAACCTCAGATTCATCATCATAATACACGTCTACCGTTAAGCCCCGCGGGGAGGCATAATTTGCGATTAAGTAGACACTGGCTGTCACTGGCTATTGTCATTGCCGTAAAGCTGTAGAGTGTCTTTAATGTTGTCTAACCACATTTCCGCTGCCGTCCTCTCGTAGCTGATCTTCTGAGATATAGTGCTTGTGATGGTTTTTGATCTTGCTGTATTCTCACGAGGTGGCAAACCTCAGATTGCTTGGTGAAAAAAATAAATAAAAAATAAATAAAAATGCCGTCGTGACACCTTTTTTGGCCGGCATCGTTTAGTATCGTTTAGGTTCTTTACACACCAACCTACTGTGACATTTGATGATTGGTTCATGAACCACTAACGAACGAACATGCACACTGTCATTGCTTGTACCACCAGCTGTGTAATTCATGATGTGATTTGTTTTCTTTAATCAGAATTCGGAGTACATCTGCCCGAGAGGCACGGAACCAACAGTCTGCATGCAAATAACTCAGACATGTGAAACGGATGTATAGGCAACACTCAGGTTCTGGAACAGGACTAGAGTCAAGAGGTGTAGCCAGAAATTTTCCGCCGAAGTTTTCAGCCTGCGAACGCGAAGAGGAAGAAGAAGAATCAGTAGATCGTAACACTCTAGTACCCATTTATGGTCACAGCCAAGGTCACTAATTACAAAATATTTCAAGCGTCTGACCACTGCGCTCAATATATATGTGCACATACATATATATATATATATATATATATATATATATATATATATATATATATATATATATATATATATATATTTATATATATATATATATATATATATATATATATATATATATATATATATATAGAGAGAGAGAGAATGAGAGAGAGAAATATACAACACAAAGCTATACAAGTTAGTTGTGTATCCTTTACAGCATCTTGTAGAACCAACCTGAGCATGTTTCTTACTGTTGTGGTTTTTCTAGGTAAATTTTTACATTCAGTAGTTTGCCATTGCTCCTAAAAGGTCAAGCCTCGATACCACTGTCCAAAACAATGCAAATTGTCCGCAGTTGGATTCGAACAGGGCACCCCCGGATAACAATGCGCGTTCGCTACGACTTAGTGTTAGTTAGTTAGTTAGTTAGTTAGTTAGTTAGTTAGTTAGTTAGTTAGTTAGTTAGTTAGTTAGTTGGGTTATCCTCATTGCACTCCGGACATGTCCATAGGTGCTCAGATTCTCCCCTCAGTATGAACCCCAACGTCCGATGGCTAATAGTATCAGTTCTATGTTGATTAACAAGTGTGTGTGTGATTGACTTAGTGTGTGTGTGTGTATATATATATATATATACTTACACATACACACACACACATCGCATTAAAATATGTGCAGTTTCCCATTCCGTGTGTCCAATTCATTACCTATAATTTTAATGCCCAAACTACATATTGTTGTTTCCCATCGCAGGCTTTGCTCTACTAGACGACGTCCATTCGCTGTTGCACTCAAGCCAACAGCGATATTTCCAGATCCACATAACGGGCTTACTCTAAAATATAATAGAACGACTTGGACCTCAAAAAAGAAATTTATTACCTGTTTACTGAATCGTTGTACACTGTAACTTCTTCAGGATGTGGATGGCAACACACTGATTAAGGTTGTGGTATGGTGTGTGGTCCAGTTGCACTGGACACGTTGTTGTGAAATGGTTGCTGTAATACAGGTGGTGTAATCTCCAAGATAATCTTCAATTACAATTTTAAAAAAAAAAATTTACTACTTTTACAATCTCTAGTGCTGCTACTATTAATGCTATAAAAATTACTAGCATTACTTCTACTGCTAAACCAAACTGCTATAAGTAGTAGCAGCAACGGTAGCAAAGTTTTGCGTCAATTTAGGTTTCCCTATTAACAATATATCGACTGCAACAAGGTTTCAAACTGGCGTTACAAGAGACCTTCCAATACATGGAAGACTTAGGTATGACCGATTTATTGGCAGTCGCATTCACAGGACAGTTTCCACATTGCTCAAATGACAACAGAGCCGTACATGCACTATCAATTAACAGACACGAGTCTTCCAACACTGCTTCACGCCCGTTTATGAAACCAAGCCTACGTAGACGCTATCCTGTCCGACGACCAGTACTTTCGCCACGCAACATGCAAAATAAACTAAAACAGGGAAATGTTTACCTCAGATGATTTGAGACCAGTCGAGAGGCGTGATTGAAAGCCATGATAGCTTGAGGTTTTGAGGTTTGAACAACAAATCAACATCATAGCACACGGGTAGTAACCCATAAGTACTCTGTTCGTCTTCTAACTCAAGTTTGAGTCCTAAGAAGCTCAGCACAGTGCACAGGCTCTGTAGCACTATCGAGGATCCTGAAATACTTTGAGCAAATTTTACACTAAAAACTTTTCCTGGGCAGTGCCGTTGGGCTACTCTTTTCGATTTCCTACTGCCAAGGAATGTTTCAGGTGCCAACAATGCACACGGGCGTCCGATTTTACTACCCAGAGATCAGGGGGAACTACTAGTGGCCCGAGTCCACGTAAAAAAATGAATGCCATCTCTTACCGAGGATTAAAGCTGGAACCTCTAGCACTCGAGGGGGGCACCATGCCATGAAACCATGCAGCCCCCTCCATGAAAGCTAAATCGGGGTACACAGATATCTACATGAATTCAGTGCCAGCTATGCATCCACAAGGTGTTGCATTTTAGTGGAAGCGGTATTATCTTATAGTGAGGAAAAACAAATAGAGCATGTCAAAACACACCTAGTAACAACATTAGAGTAGGGAGCACATCGCTGCACAACGCTACATACACTTTGTCCAGATACCAGATGCTGGGTCTTTTTTTTTTTTTTAATAGTGTACATTACATTTATTGGCGATAACGCGTACATGAGTCAAGAATTGACATACCCACACATTCTCAGTTCCCTTTTCTCAGTTAGTTAGTTATTCCTCTTGTGCCAAAGATGGCGCATAGGGCAGAGGTCTTAGCTTTCCACGTCTGTCGGTTCGTTGCCACTTGATGTAGGTCTTGAGTGCGACTGAGACCTATGGTTGAGCTCTCCCTTGTGATGGTTCTACGGAGAGTTTCTTTTGGTCTTCCCTGTTTTCTTTTACCCTCTGGTGACCATATGAAGGCTTGGTGGGGAAGTCTCTGTATGTCCATTCTGAGTACGTGACCGATGTAATTCCAGCGACGCATTCTAATAAAATCAGACACATATTTTTGTTTTGTTTCCTGTCTTATAGATGTATTGGACCTAAAGTCCGACCAGTGAACATTCAATAGCTTTCGGAGGCATCTATTCTCGAAAGCGACTAGTTTCTTATCGATTGATACTGATGATTTCCAACTCTCACAACCATAAGTTAGCACTGGGATCACACAGGAATTGAAGACCTTAAGTTTCGTGTTGTTTGTTGCTGAGTGATCTTGACTTCCAAATGTTTGACAGTTTGTTAAAGGTACTTGATGCTAACGCGATTCGAGTCGTTATTTCTGATGTTGTATCTCCCGCAGAGGTTATCTTGCTCCCTAAGTATGTGAAGCTGGTGATTTTTTCAAGAACAATATCCTTTAGTTTGATGTCTTTCGACTCGTTGGTAAGATCGATGATTTTCGTTTTGGCTGCGTTGACCTGAAGGCCGATTTGGCTTGAAATATTCTGGAGGCGGTCCATTTTTTCCTGAGCTTCTAGATGTGTTGTGCTCAGGAGTGCTAGGTCGTCAGCAAAGTCAAGATCTTCGAGAACTCTGTCGACCCATTTGATGCCTAGATATGTGTCCTGTGTGCATTTGCGCATGACCCAATCGAGTGCTATTCCGAAAATCATCGGTGACAAGACACATCCTTGTTTCACGCCTGTTTCTACTGGGAACCAATCAGAGTTACCAGATTCCGTTCTAACAAGGCAGCGGGAAGCGGTGTAGAAGGCCTTTATAATATTGACATATTTATCTTGGAAACCATAGATTGTGAGTAGCTTCCAGAGTGTAGGGCGGTGTATGCTGTCAAAGGCCTTCTGAAAATCAACAAAGTTGATGATGAGTTGGGATTGAAACTCTACTGACTCTTCTACGATGGTCCTGAGTGTGAATATATGGTCGATGCATGACCGATTCGGTCTGAATCCTGCTTGTTCTTCTCGGAGTCTTGCATCTATTGGCTTTTTCAGTCTCTGCATTAGCATGCTGCAGAACAGTTTTCCTGGTACGGAGAGTAGGGTGATACCACGCCAGTTGTTGCAGTCTGCTAAATCACCTTTTTTTTTGGGCAGTTTGAATATAACACCTTCTTTCCACTGATCTGAAAGATGAGGTCAACAAGCGGACAGTGGCTTTCAAGTTAATTGCGAAAGAAGCCAAGACAGCGAAATGGAACGAATTCTGCAAGAGCGTTTGCTCCGAGGGATCTCTTGTGACATTCTGGCGCCTTCAACGGAGCATGCACGGCGCCGCACGACCAAGGGGTATCCCTGATTTTCAGGGTACAGACCTGATATGGCAGAGAACTGATGCTGATAAAGGAAAAACCCTCCTTGCGCGCTACTTGGAGCAAACTGACCAAAAAGACGAAGCTGCAAGAATAGGGGTTAAGATGAAACTGTCGATGCTGTGCGAGAACACTGAGCTAGGCACTGATTTCAAAATCACTGCAGACACCTTAAGAACTTGCCTCAAGAAATCGCGCAGCACTGCTCCAGGTCCTGACGGCATCCGATACAATGACATGCTGATGATGTCGAATGCTGATTTGAAAA